TCTTACTAGTATTTCATTAATTCAGCACATCCACTTCCTTATTTGCAATGGAGTAGGATTAATTCGGCTCACTCTGGAAAGAATGAACAAGAAATTTGATTTTTGTCTGGTCCAAATGTTTAAACAATGCAGCCTTTTGAAGATATTAGTCCTTGAGTCACGCAGTCATAACACGATTTCCCCTCTATTCATATTCCAATTGCAGTTCCTCGCGGATAATCCAACTCCGGAAATGTGAATGGGTGTTTAACGGTAGTGTCGTTAAGCCTTACACGCTAATCCATTGATACACTTTGTATGTAGGGTAATTTTATTATGTTTACCTTCACAGAGGTGAAAAAAGGGATATTATTTTTGCTCACTTTCTTCTTATTTTTTTCTCATTCTTCTCCAAACAAATATAGTCAATGACGTAAACCAGATGTCTGTCACCATGGTAACAAGTGCTGTAACAAAACACACACACACACACACACACACACACACACACACACACACACACACACACACACACACACACACACACTAAGCAAATATTGGCATGTGCATATATAAGTTATATACAGGTTATAAGTTATAAGTTATATATAGGTTGTCAACGTAGTTTATCCTAGGTCTCCCTCGAGGTCTTTGGCCCTTTGTGGGCTCCAAAAGGACAAGCTTGGAAGATGCAATATCAGGATTTCTTACGCAGTGTGCGGCCAGCTTCATTCTGCGAGTTTTGATTTTCTCTGTAACTGGTAAATCCTGATAGATGCTCGTTGGGAGTTTTTGCTCCCAGGAGATGTTCAGACACATACGGAGCATCAATGTTATTCTTTCATCTTCAGCTAACAGAAGGGTCGATGACTTGAAGGTTATCGCCCTTCCATGTCTACACCAGTAATGTGCTATGAAAACGCTCAAACAAAAAACTCTGAATCACAAGATTTTTCTGGAGGCGTCAGCAGACAATTACGTGAAATGAGGGCAATATTTTACATAAACATTATTGCAGACATTTTTGAAATGACCCGAATTTTCTTGGTGAAAGCAAGGACATTATATAAGGTACCTCGTCCTTGGAGAAAGGTAGAAATTCAGTGTTAATTTCTTGTTTAGAACGTTACACATGTTTGTCACATGTTAATACAAGGCAATTTTTGATTCAGTGTCATGTATCTTACAAAGTTGGGATCTAGGATTATATGACAAGATCTGTTTTCCGTACATTTCCTATCTTCCTAGATTTGACATGTCGACAAAGTCCATTATAAACACCATAAACATAACCTTTATTTCCAAATTGGTTGCCTGATCTGCAAGTAGATCACTATACTTATTTGGCGAGGTTGAAACGTGACATAAGATATGAAACAAGCACAAGCTATTACTATTCACGGGGCGTCAGCAGACAATGATGACAAAACTAGATTGCCTACGTTGCCAGCAGCCTTGTGTTGAGTTAATTGTTTCGTCGAGTTTAGTCAGTATCAAAAATTGACAATGTTACTAAACAATAGAGGTTCATGTAATGTTCAAAAACCTTGGAAACAAAAATAACACAAGTAAAGTCGGGTGTTGCTTCAAAAGCAGATGCAGTAGGGAGGGAACAAAATCAAACGTGTCCTTCATTTTACTATCACCTACACACATACACATACCGAGTACCATATAGACTCATAAACAACTTACAATAGTTCTTTGATGTCCAGGAAACAATTTACGCGTTCAGTCGTTTTGACTAAGTTTGTTTTGTAGCCCCTTGAAACAAAAAATTCTAAGCAAAGACTTAAGGATCATTTCACAAAATAGATTGTTAAATTTAGTTGCTAGTAAGTTAGCTTCTGTGATGTCTATAGAATACGTCAAAGAACTTGGCAGAAGTGCAGTGAGGGTCTTACATATGTTTCACTCAAAACTCATAAATATTTTGAAATATTCTCAATATCAATAGCTTTATAACCACGAGTTTTAATCATATGCAAAAAAGTGAGGAAAAATAGTATATAGTACACTCTCTCATGAAAATAGAATAAAAGAAGGATGAAAGAAAGATTCAATGCTGATTATTTTTGCATTTTAGCGCGCGGTTTTGTGCAGTTGCAGGTCGTTGCCCTTTAGGCCGTCAACCACTTCACTGTATGTGGTGTTACGTGTAGACGTTTCGTGAACCAGAGAGCTGTAAACAAGTGAGACAATTTCCTGCAGTCCTTTGCAGGATCCGAGGACAAATCTCAGCTACCTTAGTGACGTCACCAGACAATAACAGCACAAGGCTGCATTTCTGACGTGCCCGACATTTCATGTAGCCTCCAGCAGGCCTTCCTAAGGGGGTTCGTAGGATTCGGAGGGGAAAAATGAGGAAAAATTAGCCAGGAGAGTCATTCCAGTGCATGTTAAGTTTGCTTTCCTCTTTCTATCTGCGCTGGCAAATAAAATCTGCGATGGCTAAACTCCCCCGGCCAATTATTCTTACCTTTTTGGCTAATTTTTACTGATTTTGAACTCGCGTTGTTACTCCGCCGGTGGAGACTAAATTATTCTCTCTCTGGTTTTGAACCCGCCTTTTAGTTTAGTCTGGTGGAGGCTAGATTTCAAGATGCACATTGAAATACCGTTCTTCATTCTGCCTCCTGTCTGTAAACATATCTGAGTGTACGTACTACACAAAATCCTATCTTTTACCACATCTTTTAAAGCGTGCGTAAAGATACACGCTATGGATGAAACGGAAATTTACGCACGCTTAAAGATTTGTGTAAAGGCAGTGTTAGAGCCTATATTCTCTCTCTGCTCCCCAATATGGCTCATCTATGATTTACAATCAAAATGTACTGCCTGGCAGGGTGGATTCCTACCTACTTTAAAGACTGCAATTAGCGGTTTCAGTGAACGCATTCTGACATTACCAGGAATAAGGCCATAAATAGAAATGCCCAGGGACGTCATAAATATGACATACAAAATATGATAGAATTCGCGTGTGGGAAAATGTATTGAGAAAAGGATTATCTACCCATTGGTGAATGATATTCTACCCATTGGTGAATATATAAATGTACGCCAATGGGCAGAACTTATATCCACCAATAGGTAGATAATGCTTTTGTCAATACACTTTCCCACACGCGCATTATATCTTTTTTTTCAATTCGCATTTTCATAAGCGATATGAAAACATACGGTGATAACCAGAAAATATACCTCGTTAAAATATACCAGAAGAAAATATCTACAATTGATCGGAATAATACCAGTAACACCCACATGGAATAAAATATAAACTGAATGCAAACCAAGTACGGACATGAATTTTACTCCCATTTAAAAACTCCCAGCCAAAGATACACGTTGTCACTTCGCACGTAACCCAGATTTCTCAAGGCTTCTAGTCCGCATTTCTTGGCAGGCATTGCTATGGTTGCGAATTTCTGACAGTTATACTTTATGTAAAACATTAGGATACAGGAAACAGGCCAGGCAATTTCCTGAGGAAATGTTTTACAAATTAGTGACATATGAAAATGTGATTATACCTGCGAGTCGTGAGGCTTCAGTAACTAGGCCAACAATAGCATTGCTCCCTATTGCCTAAGTTCATTTCCTTATTGCTTATGCCAACCATGTCCTAGTTTGTATGCTTCACATACTCCTTCTCATTCATACTGTAAGAAATTCACATGTTCTTCCTATCATATGAAAATATCGTTTTCCAAACTATATCAAGAAAAATGTGCGGAAAATGTGTATGCAAATGTAATGATCTGTATCGATCATTATAGCCGGTATATCATTCGGCGTAACACACCAGCTTCGTTTTGGCATTGCTGAATTTTTTGGTGGATTTCCATCAAATGATAGAGGTAATAAAAAAACAGTTACTCAGGAAACTGGATATGATTTTGGAAACGATAGTGGGTGCTACATGGAACTTCTGTTTCTAAAATCATATCCTTGAGGAACTTTTTTGGGGGGGGTGGGGGGCGTATGTATAACCTGGATGCCACCTTCATCGACGATAGGGTTGATCGTATAGGATAACCGAATGTAACGCAGGAACATTATTACATCATTTGCAGCCTACAAGAAATGGTTCTCACGGGCACATCTTTGATGTTTACGAGATCAAACACTGAGAATGTTATTCAAAAGGTAGTGGATGCCACCTGAAACGTCTGACCGTTTCTAAAATCATATCCAGTTGCTTGAATAACTGTTTTTTGGGGGCGTATCTTATAACCTGGATGTCTAACCTTCACCGACGATAGAGTTAATAGTGTAGAATAACCGAACGATTATATCATGTGCAGCTGTAGCTACAAGAAATGGTTCTCAAGACATATCTTTGATGTTTGCTAGATCAAACTCTGAGAATATTATTCACATTAATGAGCCATCAGTGCGGTATCCTGCCGAGCTGTAAGAGGTAATTAAGCCGGCCTGATTAGTTGGGATCCGGTACTTCATGATTCGTACGACTCATATGTTATAAAAGACTGCTTTGTGATTAGAAAAAATACCGTTATCTCACGATTAGCCCCACTCGTTTGTAACATTACATCAAAGACAGACTAGGATTTATAAGGTTTGATTCTATATTAAGTCTTATTCTATGTTTTTTCTACTTTGTTTAATACATACATTTGTTATGTACTTTGTTTCCATATATTGTATCAAGTGAGATAGTCGTGCAATAAAGTCATCTTACTCCTATTTTATTCAATTTGATGTGGTATTGTTTTCTTTGCCTGCTCAATTTTTGTTAAACATACAGTGATAGCATTGCATTTCATACATTCATTCATTTAAATATTATGTTCATTTCCACGAATTGACTCCCACGCTACAAGTGTGCTGCCAATTGACCAATAAACGACGTACGTTACTGGCTCACTTACGCCTTTTTCTCTCTCACGTGGTTATACGACGGGCGGAAGGCGTTCGCCCACAGTGTATATGTGCAACTACTGCCTCAGTTGATTCATTCCGTCCGTTTGTAAAGTCCGCTGAGTAAGACTATGGATGTGAACATGTCCGGGAGTTGGAACGGGAGCGGCCCGGCGGTGTGGAGCGTCACCCCGCGCGGGGAGACAGACGAGCCCCCGCTCCTGCCCTACCAGGGCTTCCTGGCCGTGTCTGCGGTGCTGGGGACGTTCGGCGTCGGCGGCATCGTCTCCAACTTCACGGTGCTGCTGATGTTCTGGCAGTACCCGACCCTCCGCACGCCGTTCAACATGCTGCTGATGAACCTGTGTCTGAGCGGGCTGATCGTGTCCGTGGCCGGCATCCCCTTCTCCCTGGCCTCCGCTATCCACGGCCGATGGATCTGGGGCCGGGCTGGCTGCGTGTACTACGGTTTCACCAACAGTTTCTGCGGTAAGACATCAACACATTCACGCCCACCACAGGTATCCTGGGTGCCAGACTGTTGCCAGCCAATCCAGGGGTAATATACAGGCTAGCTCCTCGGCTCCAAAAATTTTACCTAGGTACCCCCTCAGATAGACTCAGAGCAATCTGGCTGCATCAGAGGCATATATTAGACCCCCCAACTGTGGGATCGGGGCTCCCCCCAGACGAAGGGGGTATTGTGTCGAGCCGGGGTCTAGCATCCAGGCCGACCACACACCACCTTCGTCTCGTAAACGGTCGCTACCATTTGAAACTGTCGATGCCATTAGGCAGAACGGCAAACTTTAAGTGTTTTAGAACGGTCAAGGCACACCGTGATGTTTCGTGGCGTAGTGGGTAAAGGTTTTAGAATAAGGCTTTTTTAACCCCGGTTCGAATCCTAGCTTGTTGCCTTTCTGTTTTTCACTATTCTTTTTACGATCCTGTCGTACATTTTCAATTGAAATGTTCCATTTTATACATTTTATACGTTTTGCCTCTCGAAGACGTCATGATGTGCTCGGACATGGCGGTGACCAGTCAGCGATATGACAACGACCGTTTCAAACGGAAGAAAAAACGTTTACAAGGCGGAAACGGCGTCTCTGTTTATGTAACCCGAGTTTTATTAGTGCTCTAAAACTTCTGTCATATTATCTCCATAATTTTTTCAACTATACTAAATGCATGATTGAGCAATGCTAGCCTCTATCCAGGGCTGCTTAAGCAAAATAATGCGCCATTGCTTGTTATTGCATGTACTTGATTTGATTTATTAGACTGCATCTAAAGTGTTATATAACCGGAACTTCACATCTAGCCGGAGGCTACAATAAAGAGGTACCCTAGTAACTGGACAACAAACAATTAACTTCATGAAATAAGAACGGTTACGATTCACATGCATTAACAGAGGTAAACAAACAATTAACAACATTGTATTATTTGTAATTGTTAGGTCTTATTGATACATGAATCTTTATTTGCTAAATCACGCCTGAAATCTAATTGCTTGTAAAGAGTCAACGAAAATGAAATAAAGTAGTACTAGTACCTACTACTACTAGTGGGAAATATTCAACTACTGTCTGATCAATTTATGCTACTACTACGCTTGCTATTGAAAGGTTTGGCTTGAAGGCAATGTTTATTACCATCAGTAGTGAAGTTAGTGATATTAACATCTTGCCAGAGCTCGTCACAACTGTGGCTTAATTGTATTTTTTTCATGTTTCTGTTGTAGCAACAACATACAGACTGATTTGGTGCCCTACCGTTACGTTACCATGTTCTCATGGGACGGTTCTATCACAGGAAAGCGGTCCAAATGATGCCAAATGATGGCTGATGTACGATCTCATTATAGGATTTCTATATTAGGCCATGCCAGTTTGATTACTACTAGTACATGTTTGACATCCTCAGGGAACCCAATGCAAAAACCGATGCAAGCGTAAAATGTCTGACAAAACAATTCCTTCATTGAGGGATCTACGTGGTCATAAAGGTTGAACAAATGACTAAACATGGTATGGTAGAGCGAATGATAGACACTTTATTTTCATTTCTTTGCATTTTCGTCCTTTCTAGCTCCCTTCCTTAGTATCGTTTTGTAATATTATTTTTGAAATGTACGGCACATATTTGCTCATTTTAAAGCAGGTCCTTTGTACGATTTACAGTATGGTCTAAAACATTTTTCGGGGAAATGGAGGAAAATTCATGCGCGCGCGGACGGCCATCTATACAATCAACTCAACACGGCCTCAAGCACATATTAAGCCTTTCCAAAAGCTATGGCTATTACTGTTCAAGATTTCTCTTTGTGCCTCTTTGAAACAGGTCTATTACGGCATGCGCCATCGACCTACTTTCAGAGAAGTAATAATGTATTTATAGAAAAAAACACCGGCCCTACAAGCCCATCCAATAACGCTGTATTGCTCCAATATTACTAGAGGCATCTCACAATTGGAGGCAACCCCCTATGCACACAGATCGCCAAATATGTGGCATCCGCCTACAAAAACACACGTCAATACTAATGTTTATTTCACATGCAGACTGCAACACAACATATAAAGCTGAAGGCCATGTTAATCAAGTTTAACTAAAGGCATGCTGAAAAAAATGTATTACGTAAATGTATTACGTAAATGTATTACTGTCGTAATCGACAATTAACCTGTAGCGTATCGCACAGTAAATTGCCAATCAAATGCATCTCGATCGACCTACATTTCTGGCCAGATGTAGGCCACATCTACCTTTTTTATACAAATCGAATCGAATTCGAGTCAAATTTGGCCTCGAACACGCCCCCAAACACTGCTGACCTATTCTTTAACACCAGTCAACCAACAGCCAACCAAAGTCGAACCTACTCCACTACCGAATGCTTTAAACAGTTTTAAACATTCGCAGCCGAACTGTAGCCGACTTCCCGCCGCGAACACCAGCCAAGCACAGCCGACATTGCCGCCGACCTCCTCCCGACCACGGTTGGGGGAGATTTCTGCAGTGTTTGGGAGGATATTCGGCAATGTTCGAAAGGGGCTTTACTGAATAACAGGTCTCAAATTTCCAAGAAGTGCAAGTAAGACTGACCGGATTAGGTGAACACTAGTTACCATTATCGTAAATCCATGGCTTGGGTTAATAATCCGGCTTACCAGCAACAGTGGCCAGCTGATGTCAAGCTATCGTATCTGGCGTACCTAATAATATCATCTTATGTAATCATTTAGGTATTCAATCAAGTGATCTTGATGACATTTGAAAAGCTAGCGCAAATAGAAACGACATTGCTGTCACCTTTAAACCTTTTAAATAAAATCCTATTCCAGGAAAATCTCCAGGACAAGAAAGAAGCTAGCCTTGAAGTTACAGTGGATGGACAGTTAACCCAAAATTTTATTGGATAGTATAATAAAGACAATGGGGACAGTTCGCCTTATCTTCAATTGTAAAAGACTGTATTCATTCCATTGTGCAATTTGAGACAACCTGGCGTCAGCTAATGCAGCGATACGCCAGCGACCTTTCAGTGCATTTGCTCTTATCATGGCTAAAATGGTATTATCCTGCCGTACTTACATGTACTCTTCTACAATCCATCAATGCATTCATAAAGGGCTAAGCATTTGAGAGACACTAAAGGTGTCGCTATCTTTGCTGCAAAGTGCGCCGTTTGCCATTAGGCATCTACAGGGCGTATGTCGACCCCTGATAACGTTAATCAGTATAATCGCTATTCCATTAGAGATTAATTTTTCTATCGTAAGAGACACAACTGAAGAACCAGCACGATATTTGTTATGCACTAAGTGGACATGAAATACACCTATCATATCTAATGCAAAGCAGGTTAAGATCGTAATTCAAAGACCTTTGACTTGCTTTGGTTGTGTGTTCTGGGAACGACGGGGGAGTTATGTGAAACTAATTCCATTGCCTCTCCAAGGTGATTGATTTTTATCAATCTTTGAGAAAAAACTTATAGTTAAAAACCCTTATTAAATGGATATTGTGCATATCAAGCACCATACATATTTTAGATGACTTTTTAGATGACTACTTCATTGGTATCTTCATAAAAGACCCATCCTAAGGTACCCATGTGAATATACAGATGGGGTTTTAATTGATTTATTGTCCGAAGACGTTATATGAAAATGATTGCATGGTGAAGAGAGGGCACTTTCTGACACGTCCTTTATCTGTCCAATATTAACGAGTACCTCTTCACGGTACCTGACATTACACTTTTAAGTCAGAAACGTTAGTAGAGTTTGACCTACTTTGTTACACAGTATTGTGGACTGCTCAAGACTTGGAATGGCTGGTGATGCTTGATGTGTATACTTATATACACATACTTAGCGAGTATGTGTATGGCATACTCGCTAAGCCCGTTAAAATTCAAATACCTTGAATACTGTAATTCTTTTTTTTTTCATTATAAATTTCACATTTTTATTACATTCTCTCTTGAACATTTGCTATCTGGTGCACCACTAAATTTGTTGATGCAACAGCCTTCTATATCGCGCAAGGGTGACAGCTGTCAAGCTGTCAAGAGAGAAACTAAAAACAATACTGTACCTCCATTTTTTCTTGGAGAAAAGAACTGGGACACGGAAGTTGCAAATTGGATATCCGTTGTTGACCCGATTCTAGTGCACTGCCTTCACGCCTGGCTGGAGCATAATTTGGTTGTTCATTAACGTCACAACCCACGGGTCCTACGGTCCAACCTCCCACATACCCTATCAACTGCACACGACCGTACCGACTTGCCTGTCAATTTGTCTAACGGTAGCATTAGCTAGCAGATTCAATCTCGTGGACCCAATTTTCCAACATCTCCTGAACCCTTCCAGCGTCCACAGAAAATAAGGCATTGCCTTCAATCAGCAACTGTCCGTAAAATGAGGTTGCACTGTGTGGTTGAATATCAAGGTTCTTTATTCACAATCGCTTGTCTTCAAGAACCGGCCTTTTGATGGCCGTCTGTCATCTGTATCAGGGCTATTCTGACTGGTTCACTGTGTACTGAAGCTAGGTGTCACTGGTTCACTGTGCACTGAATCTAGGTGTTACTGGTTCACTGTGCACTGAAGCTAGGTGTTACTGGTTCACTGTGCACGGAAGCTAGGTGTTACTGGTTCACTGTGCACTGAAGCTAGGTGTTACTGGTTCACTGTGCACGGAAGCTAGGTGTTACTGGTTCACTGTGTACTGAATCTAGGTGTTACTGGTTCACTGTGCACTGAATCTAGGTGTTACTGGTTCACTGTGCACGGAAGCTAGGTGTCCCTGGTTCACTGTGCACTGAAGCTAGGTGTTACTGGTTCACTGTGCACTGAAGCTAGGTGTCACTGGTTCACTGTGCACGGAAGCTAGGTGTTACTGGTTCACTGTGCACGGAAGCTAGGTGTTACTGGTTCACTGTGCACTGAAGCTAGGTGTCACTAGTTCACTGTGCACGGAAGCTAGCTGTTACTGGTTCACTGTGCACTGAAGCTAGGTGTCACTGGTTCACTGTGCACGGAAGCTAGCTATAGGTGTCACTGGTTCATTGTGCACTAGGCTGAATCTAGGTGTTACTGATTCTCTGCTTCAGTGCACAGTGAACCAGTAACACCTAGCTTCAGTACACAGTAAATATCAAAGTTCTTTATTCACAACCACTAGTAACACCTAGCTTCAGTATACATTGAACCAGTAACACCTAGCTTCAGTGCACAGTGAACCAGTAACACCTAGCTTCAGTGCACAGTGAACCAGTTAGCTCTAGTGCACAGTGAACCAGTAACACCTAGCTTCAGTACACAGTAAATATCAAAGTTCTTTATTCACAACCACTAGTAACACCTAGCTTCAGTATACATTGAACCAGTAACGCCTAGCTTCAGTGCACAGTGAACCAGTAACACCTAGCTACAGTGCACAGTGAACCAGGAACACCTAGCTCCAGTGCACAAGGAACACCTAGCTCCAGTGCACAGTGAACCAGTAACACCTAGCTCCAGTGCACAGTGAACCAGGAACACCTAGCTCCAGTGCACAATGAACCTACCATAATTGCCCTGATTAAGATGGCAGACGGCTATCGAAACGTCATCTCTTCGAGTAAACAACTGAAGTGGTTGTGAATAAAGAACTTTGATATATCAACCATTCATCAACCTGAAGAAAATTATTTACGTTGTGTATGGGGTCTATTTGATGCAGGTATTCTCTCCATGATAACCCTGACGGTCATCGCCTACCAGCGCTACAAGATCACCATGCGCCCCCCGGGAGCCCCCAGTCTGAAGTACCCAGATGTGACCAAGGCCATCGCCTTTATCTGGGTCTACTCCATCTGCTGGACCGTACCACCGCTGTTCGGGTGGAGCAGCTACCAGCTGGAGGGACCGAGGATAGGCTGCTCCGTGGACTGGAGCTCGGACACCGTCAACGGCATCTCCTACATCATGGCGTTCTTCCTGTCGTGCCTAATCCTACCGCTAGGTGTCATTGCCGTGTGCTACGTCAGGCTCTGGCAGCACGTACACAAGGTAAAATAGTTTACACCTGTTTCGAAATTTCTACAGTTTGTAACAGTGGGTGCATATTGCCTCTAGGAAGCATAAGGGACCTTAACACTACTGTTAGTGTCCTACCCTTGTATAATGGCATATAGCTAATAACCGACCACTTTTTAGGTTACGGTGCGATGACCAATGGGAAATGGAGCCTTCTGATTGGTATATGGCTATATGATAATAATTACTAATCTAAAACTCTTCTTGTGTCCTCCAGAGGGCAGGCCAGCAGCACAACAAGAAGTCTGTGGCGAGTAAGGCGGAGGGCCGGATCGGGCTGATGGTGGTGGTGCTCATCACGTGTTTCCTGCTGTGCTGGCTGCCGTACGGGCTCGTGGCGCTCATCGTCACCTTCGGGAAGCCGCAGCTCATCACCCCGACCGCCGCCATCGTCTGTACGCTCATGGCCAAGTCCAGCGTCATGTGGAACCCCGTCATCTACGTCGTCATGAACAACCAGGTCAGTTGTGGTAGTAGTAGAGTGTTCGCCTTGGAACCAAGGAGGGTCTGCATGGGGGGGTCCTGGCAACGGTTAACGGTAAATTCAGCAGGGCCGATAACGCTTTACGGTAAATTCAGGACAGTCGGCAACGCTTAACGGTAAATTGACAAGTTTTTTTTCGAGCTACACTGGATTTGGTATCTCGCTTTGTGAGAAAAGGTGATCACTGACAAAATTACGTATACCTTACATGTAATGAAGCATGCCTTAAAGGTATGCGTTCCCTGTGTTTCCCACCTGCCCTGGTCCCCGAGTGCGTCCACAAATACCGGGGTGTCCGAGTCGACGTCGGCCAGCTTGCATTTTTTCAGTCTGCCCAGTTTTACCGATGGATTTTGAGAGGGGAGCGCCGAAGGCGCTCGTAATCTAGGGGGGTCCGGGGGAATGCTTCCCCGGGAAATTTAGGATTTTTAAGCCTTCAAAAACGCAATTTCCCAGCGCAATGAATTTCCGACCGAGCGCAGAAGCGCGAGCAATGTAGGGGGGTCCGGGGCATTCTCCCCCGGGAAATTTTGTATTTTTAAACCTTCAATGACGCATTTTCCTGCACTTTGAAAAGTAACATTAGGCGTAACGAAGAATTATTCATTAACGCTTAACGCTGAATTTAGGATGACAAATAACGTCTTACGTTGAATTAAAACGACCCATAACGCTTCACGAGGAATATACTGATAACGCTTAACGTTGAATTAGAGCTGGCCGGCAACGATTAACGGTAAATTAAAATAGCCCATAACGGTTAACGAAAAAGGGCATGCAGACCCTCACCAAGAGGTCCCGGGTTCGAACCCTGCCATGCCGCCTATCTTGTGCCCTTTGGAAAGGTCCTTTACATGAATTTCCCCATTTGATTCAAGTGAAAAATGAGTTTGTCTGTCGTCCATGCGTTGATGGCGGCATGAAAAAAAAATTGAGTGTGCCGTCGCCATATGTTGTGATAAATGTTGAAATAGAAAAAAACACGTGACCGCATACACAAGATTAAAAGTATCAAATAAACAATTTTAGGGCGGGGAAACAAAAAAATATTCTCGATGAGGAAATCTGTGATATTGACATTTACTGCCATTTCTTAGCACATTTTTGTCATTATTTCATTGACATGGACCAAAATCAAGCTACGCGGGGACATCTTTTTTTATCTCTCATATATATATTTCTACACCAAACAGAGTATTTTACTCCTGACTACCTCTCATGTACATTTCTCTTTCACTTTCCTCCCAGTTCCGGAGGCACCTGCTGGCCCTGCTCCGCTGTCTGCGGGACGCCGAGACCTCTGGACCAACTCCGGTCTGATTCTCATCGGCACAGCTCGTCACGTAAGCCCCTGTCACACATTCAGAACCTTCCCCCGACCTCCTAACAACCAAAGAAGGTTGGCTGGCTAAGGTTGGGAGCAATCTCATCAGATTTAGGTCACGCCTATCCTTCGATACGAATCGAATCGAATTCAAGTTAAATTTGGGTAACATTTGACCCCCCCCCCAGCACACGCCCTGACACTGCTGACCTACTGTCGAACATCTGCCAACGAATGGAATTTGAGTTAAATTTGAGGCCCCAAAACACTGTTGACCGGTCTGCTGGTCTCCCGAACACTGGCCAACCATGGACGAACCTCCCGTCCACACCCGAATGTTTTAAACATTACATTTCTAAACATCCGGCAGCCGAACAGTAGCCGACGTTGTTCCTGACCTACTCCTAACCGTGGTTGTGGGGGGTTCGGCAAGTGTTCGGGAGGCCATATTCGGCTATGCGTGACAGAGGCTTTACGCAAAAATCTGGACTATTGCGATATTACAATCGATGACTAGATGGAGTTGTTTGAATCACTACGGTTGTGATCCCATGTATGTTACAGCAATAATGTACAGACACATGACGACTAAACTTAGAAATACCTTTAAAGTTTACTGGCTGTCCATGCACAAATGTGTCTGATTGGCTGAGTATCTTAAAGCGTTACATGTGTGTTTAACGTATTCTCCATCCAACATTACTAATTCATAGACTTCGACATTGCAATATAAGCACACGTTATTTCTGATGTCTACCTGAACCTAACCTGCACTGGTCCATGTACTAGGTCTATATGTAGGTTCTTTGTAGGTGTATATGTAGGTGTGTTTTAGTTTTTATTTGCTGTATCGACAGTTACAACCTATGAAGTATAAATCATATAATAAAAGAAATAATGGCAATGATTTCTAAACAGGTTTTAATATGATCCATACTTCAAATTTATTCTGAATGATGCAGGTAAAATTTGTCTGGTGCAGTGCAGACATGAAGACAAGTATTTGGAGCCCCGAGAACTGTGCATGAGTGAAATAATGGTTACACTACAAATGTACATCACAAATATCAACGTGTACGACTTACCATCATGGAACATTACGATCAAAGGCTATGATTATTCAATGACATTTCTTACAAAAATCTAAACAAAGAGATGATTTTTCTCAGTGACATTTATTAACATCAATTGTAGGGTCCAGTTATTGATTTATTTTATGTCAATTGACATTATTTCAGTTTGTGGACAATATTGACATGTATGATTGTCGTTGTCGTGAGGTAAATATTATAAAACGTGCTTTAGTGCTTGGAGACATAAGTTTCCACAAAATTAATATGTGGTTATCGTAAATTTCACCTATTGTACAATCATCGATGTTTAGTTGAAATGAGTTGTTACAGCTGTCGGTACCATGTGTTGATGTGTACAGATTCTTTAACGAGATGAATTGTTCTTAGAGCATCTATGTGCCAAAAGGAAGTTACCTGTCACTGTTGTTATGTTGTGATATGTTGTGATAATAAATCCAAGTCTTTAGAAAAACGCTTTCTTTCTTAAAGTTTGTTGTTGAAATTAAAAATAGTTTTCAATGTTGGGATTTTTTTACAGAACTGTAACTACCAGACATTAGCTAAATACAGAAGTTAAACACCATTGGAAAATACTGAAGCATCTAAATTGAAGGGAAGTCATCTTAAGGAAATAATTACAAGAAGAATATTAATAGTTCACATAAAATAGACCACATAGAATAGTACACACATAATACAGAATACACATTTGGACTGTTGCAACAATATTTGACGATAAAGATTAATTATTCAATTCAAACAGTAACTTGGTTCACATATTACTTTAATATCAAACAAGTGAAAATACTTTCATTAACCATTGAATTACTTTTACTAACCATCATTATTAAAATTACTTTCGTTAAACATCGAAATACTTTTACTAACCGTCATTATTACCGCCACAAATAAAAATTGGCACATATAAATATCGGTAGGACCTAAACCCCTACCAGTACAGATAAATAAATAGATAAACAGATAAATAAACAGATTCGTGAAGACCAGGCTGTACGTTTTCAACCACGCACACGAGGACCCCTTCTCTTTTCGTATAAGTGTGGTGGGATCTTTTAAGATGCTAAAGGTAGTGGCTCTAGATCTCCTCAAACACTGGACCTCTGGCTTTACGTCCTATCCGAGAGGATGACTGTCCCTAACCGAAGCTAGGTACACCTTAGCCAAGTGAGGAAATAAGTGTAAAGAGTCTTTCCCAAGGGCCCAACGTTGCGGCCTGACGGGGATTCGAACTCAGAAAACTAGGATTTTTAGTCAACAACCATATTGATAACCATGAAGCCACCTTGCCACCTTGGTAGAGAGATTTGGGATAAGAGTATAAGGGAGAAAGAAAGATGCTTTTGGCGGCCTTTCAACTTTTTTTACTCTTCACCCTCTGATATGGGACAGATTTTAGTAAGTGGAAACCGTAATGGTGGGGCTTCTTAAACCCCGGATTACTATCTGCACTGCGCCCAGCAGAGTTTGAACCATTAGCTTGCGCATTACACGTGGCAGCAGCGCCCGAGCTGTTGTTGCGATCCACTTGTGTACTGCAGGTCGAGACACCGACTTGGCTGTTCTTGCAGGCGTACTGCTGGGACGTGCGGTCCGGCTGCAGGGACCGGCACTTGAAGCAGCTCAAAAAACACCTCCGGAACTGTAAGTATGAAACGTTGCGTTACTACATTGGATCAACAACCTTCTTGATTGGATACACAAACAACCGGTACCAAAACATAACCTTCTGACAAAGGTAATAAAGTTCATGCACATCTGCCAGAGATCCTACTACTCAATATTTGCGTCCAATTCCGGCCTACCTGGCTGTTCATGGCGACGTAGATGCCGGCGTTGTACGCCACGCTGGACTTGGCGAACAGCGAGGGCACCATGGCCGCCTCCGGGGTCACCATCTCCTCTCCGCCGAACGTCACGACCAGCGCCATGACGCCGTACGGCAGCCAGCACAACACGAAACACACCACCATCACCACCACCATCCACGTCACTCTCTTCTCACGCCGGGTGATGCTGGACTGCTGGGCGGCACCTCCCAGCTGTGGAGGTGCATCTGGCAGCTGCTCTTGTGCCTGTAAATAAGTGAAGCTTTGTAGTTCGTATTAAAAAAAAGCTCACACAAAGCTCACACACACCACGCACACAGAAACACCACACAACTTGACACACATCACACAAACACACACCACACAAACGCCACTTACCCGCCGCACATGTAGGACCAGACGGGTGTAGGAGACAACTATGACGGCGACAGGAACAGCCAGGCAGCCCACGAAGAACGCCACGATGTAGGAGGTATCGTTGGCGGTGCGCGACACCCAGTTGACCGAGCAGCTCACGCCGTGAGACTCGGGACCGTAGCTGCTCCACCCCATCAACGGCGGGACCGTCCAGAGCAGGCTGTAGACCCAGACGAACAGCACGGAAAGTGCCACCCAGCGGTAGGACAGCTTGGGTGCGTTTGGGGGCCGCTTCATCATCTGGTGGCGCTCGTAGGAGATGACTGTCAAGGTGGTCAGGGACACGATACCTGGGGGCAGACCGGTGAAACATACGTCAGATATATCATGTACCCGTTGCCATGGCAACACGAAAAATCAGGATGCCAGATGTATTTTAGGTAAAGTCACCCAATTTGACTGTTCTAGCGCAAGCCGTTCAGGCGTTATCCGAGATGAAAGTGGGCGCGGGCCTCAAAAGCCCGTGCCCACTTTCGGAGGGGGGGGAGGTGTGGCGTATGAATATGGTTTAAGTACACCGTAAACATGCGCATGTGTACATACGAGAGAAGAAGCGGAATCTTTACGCATGCTATAAGGTGTGCACAAAAGAATGGATTTTGTACAGTGTTAAGTCTCACCCAGCAGACTGTTGATGAAGCCGTACCACACACAGCCGGCACGCCCGAACATCCACCGGCCCTTCAGACTAGAGACAAAGCTGAAGGGCGTGCCGAGGACGCACACCAGCAGGTCGCTGACCGTGAGGTTCACCACCAGCATGTTGAAGGGTGTTCGCAGCTGGCTGTACCGCCCAACGAGGTACAGGGTGGTGGAGTTATTCACAATCCCCAACACGGCAATGATTGCCAGGACCGAGGCCACGGCCTGCAAAACGTCCGAACATAGTTTCATCAGGTTGGTTAAGTATAAAGGATATAGGAGTTTTATTTTACACAACCAAACTTGTATTATGTATACCTTGCTTACATTTCGGTGTCTATCGGATATCAGGTGTCTACAGAAGATAACGAGGAACCTGGACGAGAGGGGGGGGGGGTCCAAAGTAAGCCACGTTTGGGATTGTGTTCAGCAAAAGCGCCACCTACATCGGCTACATATAGCGGCGGGAAGCAGATCTCCAGTCAGAACTCTGACGAAGATTTCTGATAGACACCGAAAGATAAGTTTGGTTGTGTAAAAGAAAACTCCTATATAACATCGTACAGACAGAAACACGTGGTTAGTAACGTACAGCGTCTGTGCATAACCCAGATTTTTTTTCACTGTTTTCTTTGGATCATTGGTGAATGCTACATCGAAATTTTGCCAGTTGCAGACGATATCTTTTCTGACACAACATTTGAAAACTATAGACGGGATGTCACCTTAAAGGTATCAAGGCAGCTAAACAAAAACAAAAAAATATTCTAGGTGAGGAAGTCCACCGCTACGCTCACTCGGTGGTTTTATTCGGTGGTTAAAGCAAATGAAAAATAGCAACTGACAAGGCTTTATTACACCATATACATCAGTCAGGTCACTGACCCTTAAGTCAGTCTAGTTGACGCATTTCAATGAACCACTTTTGAAAGTAATTCTTCACACTAGAGTAGAGATAATCTGTATGTATGGGATGGGAAAAAAATGGAATGTAAAATGTGTGGGATGGGGAAGGAGAAAAAAAGGTCATATCGGATTTTCACTCCACCGACTGAAAGGCCTGATTGATAGGAGGTACCTATTAATTACCCTTCAGATACACTGCGTCAGTACAAGAGTCCGCCTCACCATGGCTAATAACGCTAATGGAGCTACAGAAAATGATTCTTCGCGGTCTACTTAACAGACGAGGTCAGTAACCTCTTTCGCGGGCAATGGCTTCAATTTCGGATCCCACGTACAGTTTCGCGTCTTGTTTTTTGAGATAAAACTTCTGGGGTAATGGACAAAACGAAATGATTTTTCAAAGGGCGTCATGCGCCGTCGGTATATGTTCCTTCTCATTATTGTCATCAGAGCCAGTGCTGAAAATAGCGATGCTCTATGGCATTGTAATGTTTTAAGTTAACTATTACACAGTGTTTTACAATGTATTGCAGTGTTCATTCCGCCTTTTGTGCTATA